TACTCCTCCACCGTCTTCAACACCCCGGTCAACATCCTGTTCAGCACCCTCTTCAACAACCTGATGAAAATATGGACCTTCTCCGGGAAGTTCGTAATTCAATTGCTGAACAATTCCGTGACCAACTTCTCCGGCAATTTCGTAAACGACACCCTGTGCAATTGTATCACCAATTTCACAGACGGTTCGCCCACCGCCACTGGACACCGGCGCAAGCTGGGTCTCCTGATGCCCGAAACCACTCAGCATAACACACCATTGGGATACTGGTTGATTCAAACTCTTACAAATCCTCATCACAGTAATATTAAACAACTATTTTCAACCCCCCGACCGGACAACGGATCGGCCAGGCAGGTTAAAAATGTTGGGGGCGAACACGTCGGGGATGGAAACAATTGTATCGGCGTTTAATGATGCGAGTGGCATGGCATGGCATGGCAGACACGTGGTCGGATAATATTTAAATAAAAATCTTGTTCTTACGCGCGATATAGCGATAGTGCTTATTGCTTTTCACTCCCAGACGCATATCGTGATTCGATTGGCGTTTCTGGATATCTGCGGCGATCCGCCTGATTTCTTTCTTTTGTGCATCAGTCAGATGGCTGTATTGCGTTAAAGCTATAATGGCTCTAGGCTGTCGCATTCTCATTGCGGGTCTCGTTATTATCTTTTGGTGTTTGTTGTACCGAATCCTGTTGAGAACAACTCGGTCGGAGTTAGGCAGATATAGGTCTCCATCTTCAGTTATCTCCGGCTTACGGTAACCGAGTTTCCGGAGCACTTCCGGCCAGCCCATGTCTTTGAAGTTGCTGTGTTCGACTATGCGCTGCTCGGTCTTTTCTGCCTCGGTCTGTTCCGCCTCTTCCACCTCGGTCTCTTCCACCTCGGTCTGTTCCGCCTCTTCCACCTCGGTCTTTCCACCTCGGTCTGTTCCGCCTCATCTTCAACGTCCGTTAGTTCCAGCAGCTCCTCGCCGTTGGCAATGGCCACCAGCTTCCGCTTGATTTCCTCTGGTAGGTTGAGCTCCAAGTAGCTCGTGCTGTAGTCGAAAAAGAGGGCGTACTCCTCAATCTGTTCGTCCAGGTGGCAGCCGATGCGTTGATGCCCCTTATCCAACATGTGGTTCTGGACAGCCAGTGTACTCCGGAATTGACGATTGCACCACAAACACAGATGGCCTTCATAAACCTTGGCACCCAGATACCTCAGGAACTCGCGCAGGTCAAGGCAATACTGCTCATCAGGCACCATCAAACTGTACTGCGCCCTCATCGCTTCCAGATTGTCATCGAAGCTACCATATGTGTTCCCGTCAAACAAGCACTGGGTGTCCTCATACGGGTCACACTCGCTGGCTTCGTCTTCGCCCACGTCGTCCTGGTCCTCGCTGCTGTTTCCGCCCTCGCTTTCGTCGCGGCCCTGGCGCGTCGACTCCGGCATATCCTTCCCAGTCTCCAGAAGCACGTTGGCGTTCTGCATCCGGTCCCCCTTGTGCTTCTTCAGCAGCCGTTTCCTACGAGGCATTTTGGGACCACCAATTACTTGAGTGAGCTCGGGTCCTGTACTCGCTAAAATTGACATCTTCAAGTTGAAATCCGATTCTAATGCAGGTTCTAATCCAGCCACGCGGCGCTTCAAGTTATACCGATGGAAGTCGGACTTCACATGCTGGCTCTGCTCTTCACGGTTGTCCCAACATAGGCCGCAGGGCACACACTACGGAAGCGAGAAGTGTCTGGAGCAGGGACGCCGGGTATGTCTGAGCAGCTGGACACAGGGCTCACCCTGGGTGGTCCAGGCTTCGGGTGGTCTAAGTGACGCGGCTGAGGGCGGCCTGGGTGGTGACTTACGGCATACATCTTTTTTTAACTGCCGGGGACCGTGCCATGTGCGCACATGAAGTGGCCAATCCTCTCGCACGGATTGCTGATAGCCGTGCTGGTGGGACTGCTGTTGGTCGTCTTGGTCCTCTCTGGCCTCACCCCGGCGATCATCAGCCACCTAGAGAAGGAGAAATCCGAAGTTAGCCAGTTCGGTGTTCTATTGAGCTGCCCGGCCACGGGCAATATTGTCTACTTAGAATTCGAGTATGTCCACTAGGCTTCCTGGGCGACCACACCACACTCGCTACCGCATGCCGTACCACCTACGTGACAGACCCCCACCAAAAGGCCTGCCACCGGACCGGCCCACCATGACAGGCCCACGGTGACAGGCTTATCTGGGGGGATAGGACCATGTAGGGAGCCAGGACCCATCACCGGAACCCATCACCGGAATCCATCAACGGAATCCGTCACCGGAACCCTTCACCATCACCGGAACCGGATGCCGCCGGAGCCGGATGCTGAAGTTCAATGTGCCTGCCTTTAGATGGCTTCTCAAGTCCACGACGGGAAAGAGCGTGAATCGCGGCGCGCGAGACCCACAGGAGCACTGGGTACCTTCGGTCTTTGCGGGTCAGCAGGCCGCGCGAAGTGCGACTCAAGACACCTTGTACGGGAGCGCAGGACAGCAGGACTCCGTAGGGGAAGGCTCGGGACGGGAGGACTCTGGACGGGAGGGCTGCGGACGGGTGGGCTCTGGACGGGAGGGCTCCGGACGGGAGGGCTCGGTAAAGGAGAGATCGACGGGTGATGCTGCCGAAGGCGATGTTGCCGAAGGCGATGCTGCCGACGGCGAGAACGGGCCGCCACGGCCGACTCACCCGGCGGAAGAGGCGCCGGGGTTAACCACAGAAGGAGCCGAGAGCGGAATGTTGGACGAGGCGGGATTTCTCCGGTTTGTTTGGCAAAACGAGAAAGTCGACTCGGACGACCTGGACTTCACTAGGCTGTACAACCTGTCTTACGACTGGGACTGGGATTCAGAGCAAGTCGGCAGCCTGGACGATCCGGCGGACTTCGTTTGCAGTACCTCGCCGCGCCGGAAGGTTGCTGACACTGACGCTGTTGGGGATCCTGGGGGGAATCGGGTGGCGGACCCAGATATAGTTGTGGATTACTATGGGGGTGTGGGTGACTACGTGAGCACAGAGGAGTCGTACGTGGTTGAGCTTCGTACCCCGTTTGAGTGGTACCCTGAAGTTCGTTACGTGGATATAGATAATTTTAGAGTGTACCAGATGAACGCAGAGGATTTCCGACAACTCACTTGTGTGGACCAGGCATCCAACTGGTCCTTCCACGTGTCGGAGTACGAGTGGTGCAGTGACCTCTCTATTGTGCCTGGCGAAGGACGGCAAGTGGTATTTATGGAGCCGGTGGAGAAGCAATGGATCACCTACATAAACATCACGGGCACGAAATGGTCGGCTGCGACGAGGTCGGGGACGATTGCGACCGAGTCGACTGCGGCCGGGTCGGCTGCAACCGAGTCGACTGCGACCGGGTCGGCTGCAACCGAGTCGACGGCGACCGATTCGGCTGCAACCGATTCGGAGGCGACGAGTGGTGGACCGCGGGGTAGATCCAAAGATGGCAGCAGTGGGGGAGGTTGTCAGCATAAGAAGGCCGCTTTCAACGGCCGGACGAGCTACTACGACCACCGCTTGGAGACGGACACGATATCGTTTCACCCGATTCAATTTTCGGGTGGTTTGGGAACAACGAGTGCTCTGATAGTAGGTCGTTCGAGCGTATTGGAACCGGACAAGTTCTTTGGCGTGGAATTGTTGTACCTATGTTACAGTGTGACGGGGGATCCGGTTGTGAACGGTCAGTCAATGGTGATCGATTTAGAGACTCGGAAGCCGTTGTCGATTCCAGGCGGTGCGCGATTTCTACAGTCGTGGAACCAAACCGACACTCGAGACGGAAGTGTCCGCCGTATGCTGGCGTTTGTGGCGCGATGTCGCGCCTCGAGGAACGTAAACTCTGTAGTCATTGGCGAGTTGCTACCCGGCCCCGTGATGCCTCTGTCGACGTGCGAGAACAGTTACATGCCGGTGCGCACTTTTCTTTTTGCCAAGTTGCGCGAAATTCCACTCACCGTCGGTTGCGAAAGACCCACCTACAAATGCCGGGTCCTTTGTCGAACACCCAAAGAATTCAGTGTCAGGATCACACACCACGGAATAGACCCCGTCCAATATGTTCCAAATGACGGGACCTTTTACCTCATCACTCTAGTTGTTTGCGAAAATGTGATCCGATTCGACCGACTACAAGTCCCTTTCAGCGACGTCGTCGTCGTACCCGCTGACGATGAAGAGATTATTACGGATGAAGAGATTATTACGGAAGAAGAGATTATTACGGAAGAAGACGTGGCCGCGGAGACGGCCGCCGCAAAGCGCCGTATGAGGGGGTACGTTCGAAAGGATCGTGAGTGGGACTCTCTTGCGCGTTATATATCGCTCAAGAGCATCGATCAGTCATTGCGAATGCAGTTTGAGAATTACGACGAGATGGGCGAGGAGCCGGTGGCGGTGGACGGGCTGTGGCACTCGCAGACAGCTAGCCTACCCTTTGCGGGATTCTCTACATCTCCGTACCGGGAGTACTGCGGGTATTCGGACCGACAGGTGTTATGGGATTTGGACCTCAAGAAATTTTTGCAAACGCGCGCGTGTTTGCGCCACTGGTTGAATGCTTCCTTCCGGCGCCCAAACCAGCTCTACAAACTGGGTCCTGGCACCATTGTAGCACCGGTGAAGGCTTTCGGTATCTACATGTCCAATGTGTCTTGCCACTATTGTTCGCCGGAGACTCACCCGGTCCTGAAAATCCCAAGGGCAAGTCGCTTGATAACAAGTACCTCCGACGGGATAACTGGGGACTTTATGTCAGTGGACATGAATCCGACCAAAGTGGCTGGGGACTTGGTGCAACCGGATTTGTTGTACTTCTGGGACGCTACAGCCAACTCCATACGGTGGTTGCGCGTCCAAGGCAGCGAGGATAACTGGGATATGGTCCACATGACTCATATTCTCTACGTCCCCTCAGTCAATATTATGGCACCACATTCCATCACTTGGGGGTACGGCTCCAGCCAGGAGAAGCTGGTTGTTGGCTCCCTTTTCAACGATCGTTCCGTCGTAGCAATTACAAAGAATGATTCTGACTGCTCCCTCTCATTCACATCCGTCTCGCAGTCCCGGAGTCCTCTGGGCAGCTTGCAGATTGTCAACAGCGCCAACCTCATCGTGTGGACCGAGCCCGTAAGGGAGGCGACCTTCCTAGCGGATTACTCCTCAGATTACAGCTCTCATCTACAAGCATACAAATTATCCAATGGCAATGAATCGACCTATGTCAGTAGTACCTACGGCAATAGTCTTTCCCGATCGGTAAGACGATTGACTGATGCTATCAAGTGTCTGAGCTTCTTTCGTAGTCGCAGGCTAGATGCCAATCTTGAAGGAGCCATAGTTAAGAAGGACACGGAATTTACGGACGTGACTTCCGGCCCGTCTACAGGCACGTCTCGGCTAAAGAAGATGGAGAGTGTGAACGGAAAGGTGTTTCATTCTATAGGATACTCTTCGAGAAAGCAGCGCATTTTCTTTTCTGCGCCAGAAGAAGGTAGTGTGTACTCCATATCTCCAAGCTCCGAAACATACAGCATTGTGTTCCGAGCGAAGGATAGAACCGACGTCACCAGTCTACTGCGTCCAAACCACATCTACGTCGACCCTACCTCAGACTGCATCTACTTCACGACTCTACCGGTACCGAACATCACGACAGCCGCAGCCAGTTTGGCTTCAACAACTAAAATCTCCACCACTGAAGCTATACAGAGGCTCACGCAAAGGACTCCTTACGGGTGGCCCAGGCTGGACCACTCCGTCAGGTCCAACACAACGGAGACCCGCAGTCAGTGCGGAGAAACTGGGGCTTGCAGCGGAGCGACTAGCCGCTTGATCACGTCAACCTTGTTAGACGGGGCTGCCGGCGGCACCAACTTGGCGAACAGCATTTGGATTTTGAGACCAAAGTTTTCCGCACGGTCCCTCATGATGTCGCCAGTTCCGTTCTATACCAACCCCGAAGCCTACATCATCGATATCTACGGCACCGAGAAGTATATCGTCGCCATAGAGAAGTCGATAAGTATTCACGCGCCTCTCACCAGGAACACTACCGGACACACTACTAACGGTCCAGCGACAACTAGGCAGCGGGTGACTAAACGGGGCGACCAGCGATCTGTGCCAGTACTTGGAGAGGATGAGAAAGAAAGTAGCCTGGCCAACGACGATGAAATCTGGGTCCAGGATGTCAAGTACAGGATCATCAAACTGGAAGTGCTACCGTTTTCTCCGGCTATATTTGACGATCACATCACTAGCAAGACCCCTGAAGAAGTGGACGTACTCATAGACTGGACCTCCCAGTCTCCCAACGTCATTTTCGCCCCACTTCAAGAAGACGGGTTCTTTGGCACTGGCGAAAACTCAAGTAACGGCGACCAAACCGTCAACCGCTCTGTGGTGGGCTGGATCGCCATTGGGATCCTTACGGTGCACCTTTGCTTAGCTACAGTATACAACTTTAAAGTGTAAGACCTAGTTGCTTCGTGCCGATTTCTCAGCTTATTTCAATGTTAGACACGACCTCGGACTGGCCATCTCAAACCATTGTCCCCTCAGATGGAGAAACCAATTCAAAGACGAGAAAAGAGCGTCGTGATAGCTCTCTGTATACCTTCTAACGGATTTGATCATTGTCTCACTTCAGAAGCAAGTTATATTACTTTCCCCATGATGGTGGCAGGTTTCTCACCAGCCGGACGCGGTCAACCGGACGCGGTCAGCCGGACGCGGTCAACCGGACGCGGTCAATCGCAACGTCGGCAAACCTCTGAATTTGGGGCTTGATAAAACTGGGGAAACGCGTGTGTGCACGCGATTTAAACTGGCTGGATGGTACTCTATTGTCCACAAATGCGCCCTTTGGACGGCACAAATGTTTCTTAAACACCTTGTTGTGAAGTCAATTTTAGAAGCATTACAAACCGAATATATCGGCGGCTATACATTCGACTTTGACTTGTAAAATTTCAAGTCGATCCTTGAGGAAATTCGAAATCTTTATGCGGGCTATCCGGAGCTCCTTTCGCAGTGCATTGCGTATGTAGGCTCTGGCTATGTCCAGTTGCACTTGAAATCTAGTTGAAATGTGATTCTTCAGATCGGTTGTGACAATATCCATGTTATGGGAAATTCTCCATAAAAAAAAAACTTGGCCGGGAAGTTGGGTCCATTTTGATCTTTTTTTGGGGATTGGCTTCTCAGGGAAATTTGGTTGATCTTTTTGGGGGTTGGCTCTGGGAAAATTTGGTTGAATGACCGCGGTAAAACGACGAAGATGGTTTCCAGCAAAGGAGGCGAAGTTTTCAGAGCAGGAAGTGGTTCAGTATTACGTGAAGTCGCCCCGTAAGCACGTCTATGGGTGCATATGTGATTTTATCTGAGTAGCTTGTTTCTATCTGACGCTACTGGTTGCGGCCAAGAATGTTCCGTTATCGCCGGACGAAAACTGCGAGTATATGATAGATCCCATAAAGAAAGAGGCGCAAGCGATTCTTGAGCGGGAATGTCCAAACAAGTTGTATCCTCCCGAGCTTTATGAGGGACCTGGAATCGTGTCATTGGGCCAGCCTCTGCTTGTGAAAATTCATCCTAATGTTCCTTTTGAATTTGTTATAGGACGATCGCAGCAAAAGTATTCCTTGACCCTTCCCGATTGAAGCCACGCACGTCCGGCACCTGCATCGCACTTAGATCAGTTACCTCAGTTTGGAAGCTGTTCCTGGAGCGGCAAGACGCTGGTTTTCTCGAAGGCACTGTGCAATCCAGGTGTACTTCGGGAAACGGGGTAAAGCCGGGCAAGTTGTGTTCGCTGTGAAGGATCTCAGGTCCGCGAATGGAACCTTCTTGAACGGGAAGGCGCTCCCCTCTGGAGGTGCTGCTGCCCTCATGAACAATGACATTATTGGTGTCTCGATGACTGATTACGGGGGGCTTATGCTCGGCTTCCGCTTCACCGTACTCTACATCAGCGAACGCAGGTGGGTCGCGATACACGAGAAGGTCTCGTTACTTGACGACGACAACGAAGACGATGATGACTAACCATAAGACTGCGGCATAGGATGAACATAAGATCGTGAAAACAAAACTGCGAAATCAAAAAAACGGTCGGGTAACTTCTGTAGATATATTGTTCCTGCTATTGTGTGTGATTCCCCCCCCCCCCCCCCCCC